AGAGAGAGAGAGAGAGAGAGAGAGAGAGAGAGAGAGAGAGAGAGAGAGAGAGAGAGAGAGAGAGATGTTCCCTCTTATTTAGATTGTAGGGTACTCAAGGGAAGGCACCAAAGATTTCCTTCTATTTTTCCCATATTTTGCTTAGCCCATTTCTGAACACACACTGGGAGATAATTTATAGATGTTTACAGATTGTTTTACTCCAAGTTGGAAAGAGGAAATTCATTATTATTACCATATTTTCTATTTTCTACTTCTGTTTTTGCTTAAGGAAATGAATAAGAAACTCCTCACCTAGGGAAATCCTCTAGTAGGTGGAACAGAGTTCTATATGAGCCAGTGCAGTGAATGGTGCAAGAAGAAAAGCAAATGCATAGACTGACCCCAGGTCTATGAGGCTCTGTGTCTCAGAGACCTCAGCAAAGGAGTAAACAGGGTCTTAATGCATTCTGCAGATGATACTGAAGTGGGAAATGCTGGAGTAGCAGAATGGGCCCTAGTAAAGAAAATAAAGTAAGGTTCAACTTGGAAAAAAAAGAACTAACACATTGACAGGAAAAATAATTCAAAACACAGATTCAGCAGGAGGGGATAAACTTGGATTGCAGTACTCACAGCAGGCTGTCCCGTACGGTCCAGCATCAGAGGTGACATGTCACAGTGTTCCTCCCTGAAAGTCTCAAATGTTAAGTTTAGGCATCAAAGGTCCATTTTGAATTAGGCAAGCAAATTAAACTGAGTTCAAATATTATGACAAAAAATGCAAATAACAAAACTAACAAAGGGAATTCTGAGTATTCACGAACACCAGTTCATAGAACTCGGTTACTCAGAACAAAAATCAATTGACAAGTCACATTTTATAGGATGAAAAGTGAATTCTAACACTCTACCACACAACAAGCATGATTGTTTCTGACCAACTTGGTTCTTACACTAGAAAAATGTGAATTTAAAATGCACTTCTATTTTTCCAGTGTTCTGGTGATTTTATTTCTCCATTGTTCCTACAGGACAACTTATTTACCATATCATCACAGAATCATTTACGGTAATCTCCCAATGTCAGGTAGCCAACTATTTCTAATTGTACTAAGAAACAGTGAGTGGGCCCACATTTCTGTTTGAGACATACTGGTCTTTCTAATAGGTAATGTACTTTGTAATATAAAATATTTTAATCTAAATTCATAAATCAACCCTGAAAATTGATCACAGCTTCAAATGTCTATTTCACCCACATCAGCTGGTACTTAGTATATCCACATACCTTCAATCACATCCACACAGAGAACTTTAAAAGAGCATAAATGCTTCTCTGCACCAAGTGGATTAGCATGAAAACCAGACAAAGGAGAAAAACAGACTAAATATATTATGATTTTCATCATTACACTGTTGCTCAACTCCCATTTGCTCCACCCTGATTTCCTTCATGCCAAGAATATGAAACAAGAATATAAAACAATTATATTCAAGGTTTCTAAGGAAAAAATCTATTTTCTCTCCAGTCCTCAATATATAAAAAACTATATTTTTCTCTGTGTGATTTAATATGTGCTTTTATTCTGTTCTGTAATATAAAGACTGCAGCTGATTTGCTATGGGAGATGTCTTCTTCAACTTCAACAACTGCCCAAGAGGCAGTTTGAGAGACAAGGTTGTCTAAAATAAAACAAGCTGAATTAAATAAATATGTGAGATATGGTATATGTGATAACATACATCAGGCAAGAAATGATGCTCAAGGACAGTCGTGTCAATACATAAATATTCAATACCCAAGCAAAATTCACAACTTATTTTCAATAAAAAATATTACCATGAATTAAAAAAAACAGGAAATCATGATTCACAACAGGTATATACAATTTAAGTCAACACAGATAGATAAGGATATTGAAGTGGCTATTCGTGCATAGAAACATAGGTTTTAAAATTCATAGACATTTCAAAATAAATATTCAAATTAAAATTCTAGAACTGAAAACTATAATATTCAAGATGAAAAATGCACAAGTCAGATCAGTATTTGAAGAAGAAAGATTAGAAAACTGAAACATAGAACTGCAGGAACTACTTAGAATAAAATCTAGAGATAGGAAGAGTAAGAACTAATGAGGTATGGGAAAATATACAAATTTCACGTGTTTATAATTTAAGGCCTAGAAGAATTTAAAAACAAAGGGAAAAAGAAGTTAAAATGAAGGCAAAGACTTCAAATTTGAACCATTTCTAAATCCATGGATTTATCATTACTGATTCATAAACATAAGGACAGTCAAAGAGGACACACAACAGACATTGGATCAAATCTATTATTCATAACCAAGAAGTTCATAAATAACTCAGAATTTGGAATGGTTTAGAAAGTGTTAAAAAGACACCATGTCTAAATCTAGCCTTCACCTATTTTGATTGTATTATACTGAGCTCAAGCTATAACACAAATATATAATACATACATACATATATACATACATACATACATTACACACATGTATGTATGTATGTGTATATATATGGGTTTTGAGACAAGGTTTCTCTGTAGCTTTGCTTTGTAGACTGTCCTGGAACTAGCTCTTATAGACCATACTGGCCTCAAACTCACAGAGATCTGCCTGCCTCTGCCTTTCAAGTACTGGGATTAAAGGTGTGTGCCACCACTGCTTGGTGGCACTTATATTTTTAAAGCTCCTTGAAAATGTATCTGTGAGTCATGAGAATAGAAAATCTCTACATTTTCTCCTATTTTATATGCTCAATGTTTTTAGAAAAATGTTGGTCAGGACCTACTCCTGTGATTTTAATGAAGGTAGACATGACTCCTTATTAATAGTATACTGAACTGCTAGATTAGTATACTTACTAAACACAAAAAAAGGAGGAGGTAAAGGAAAAGAGGTAGAAGAGAAAGAAAGAGGAGGAAGAGGAAGAGAACAAGACCAGTGAGGAGATCATCTTAAATTCATGAAATGAGATATTAGTGGGAAGAAGACTACAAAATACATTTTTTAGTTTTAAAAGATGAAGTTGAGAATGGATCATTTTTAATTTTGTAGCGGGCACATGTGAGAAAGCTGCAAATCTTACACTCCTTGTTCAAAGACTGTATGCTTTGCCAACTTACAGAGCAAGGAATCTAATACGGTAGGAGCTTCCTAGAGTATATACTTACATGAAGTTTATCTAAATGAAATCATAAAATAACAATGGAGACAAAGCCACAACTGAAAATCTTTCATAACCAAATGAAGCTTTCAGTACTGGGAATGGGTAACATTTAATCATCCAAATGATTAACATGGAAAATTTTGAACCAATCCAGGCTGTAAAATAAATAAAAATTTATTTTTAAAGAGAAAAAGAAACAAACAGGCACCTAAGGGATAATAATAAAATAGAATAAGATAAAACAAAACAAACAAGTTGAAAAGTACATCCCAGCTACAGTTTTCCCTCCCTCTTTTCCTCCTATTATTTCTCCTCATTACCTACCCTCTTCCTCTCCCCACCCCATGAACTCATCTTTTGTTTCTATTCAGAAAAGTGCAGTCTTCTCATATCAACAAAATGTGGTATATCAAGATGCTGTAAGACTGTGAACCTCTGTTTGTGTTAAGGCTAGGCAAAGCAGCCTATTACAAGGAGTATGGTCCCAAAAACCAGTAAAAGAGTTGGAGACTGCTCCTGTTCCAGCTGTTAGGAGTCCCATTAGAAAACCAAGCTAAACAACTGTCACAAAAATGCAGAATATTTCCTTTTTTAAAAAATTACTCTTTTCTCATACATCCATCCTGATCATAGTTTTTCCTCCCCCCATTCCTTCTAGTTTCCACACACCTCCCTTCTCTTCTAGATCCTCTCCTCCCCCGTTCTCCTTTAAAAAAGAGCAGGCCTTGGAGGGATAGTAACTGAGCATGGAATAAAAAGTTATAAGAAGTTATAACAAGTTATAAGACTATGCATAAACTCTTATATCAAGACTGAATGACACAACCCAATAGGAGGAAAGGGTTCCTAAGGACAGGCAAAAGAGTCAGAGATACCCCTACCTCCACTGTTAGGAGTCCCACAAGAACACCAAGCTACATAATAATAAGATACATGCAGAGGACCTAGTTCAGATCCATACAGGCTTCGTGATTGTTGTTTAAATCCTATGAGCCCCTGTAAGCCCTGCTTAGTTGTTACTCTGTGGGCTTTGTCTTCATGATGTCCCTGGCTCCTACAATCCTTACTCTCTCTTCTTTGAGGTTCCCCAAGTTCTTCCTAATGTTTATCTGTTGGTCTCTGCATTAGAAAAAAAAATCATCCTGAGTGAGGCAACCCAGACCCAGAAAGACAAACATGGTATGAACTCACTTGCAAGTGGATATTAGCTGTTAAAGAAAGGATAACCATGCTATAATCCTCAGACTCAGAGAGGTTAAGAAACAAGGAGGGATCAATGGAGGATGCATGGCTCTCTCTGGGGAAGGGAAATAACAGATTTTTGCCTGTTTATTTCCTAAGGAGATACAGATAAGGTGTGGATTCAGATGGAGAGGGGTTATGGGGTATTGGGAAGAACTGGGGATAGAAATTTAATCAGAATACATTGTTTTTAAAACTCTATTTTCAAAAAAAAGAAAATATAAAATAAATATTAAATGTCAAGGGACTACTCTGACATACACCTCTTAAGACACATGCAGCAAAATTTCAAAATTGTTGTTTAGAGGAATTAGATAGTGGACAGGATAAAAAAGAGCATAATGCAGAAGAGTTGGCAATTTTTGGGTGTCAGTTTCATTCATATTGGTCTCAGATTCAATACAAACAATGAAAATCCCAGATCACTTTTAGTATAAATCAATATACTAATCCTAAAATTCATATAGTAGCACCGAAAATAATTAAAACAAACTCAAGAAAGACACCAAATTACCTCATCTGAAAGCAGCTCAATATAAATCAGTTCTAAGACAGACAAATAATTTACCAGAACAGAAGAGAACTCAATAATATATCAACACTTCAGAGAAGAAAATTTAAGAATGTATCAACACTGTAGGGAAAAGCTAATTTTTTTTTCAAAGATGCAAAGAAATTCATTGAAGGACGGTTAAGCTCATCAATAAATCACATCATAAAACTTAGATATTCACCCTTGAAACATAATCTCTAGCTAAGAAGTAACTCAAAATGAATATCAGAAATGAAAGCAAATTACAAGTATTAGAAAAATCAAAGAAATTTGTGTGATGCTAGCTCAACCACGTTGTATGCATATCTGTTCTGAGTGGCATCATAATGTTTGAGATACCTAAGTACTGTCAGGACATTCATTTTTACAAAAATATTTACCTCATGAAGTTATTATATTTATCTTGTATGGGAATGAGGACATGTAGATTCTTACTACAATGTCCAGAATCCCTTCAAATCCTCCTGTTTCATTGTCTCAAGCACTGGGACTATGTAAGTGCATAACTGTGCCTCACTTATAATTCTGATTTATAGGTAACAAGGTTCTCTGAAAAGTTAAGCGATTTTAACAACGATACCATGCTGGTTAAATAGCATGTGTGAGCTTTGAACTCACCTATCTAATGTTAGAATCTCCAAATAATTGCTGTGTAATTCATTCCCACACTGTGAACTTGGGGTTGGAATTTTCTATGTACTTTGACCTGAGTTACAGAGACATGTTTGAAAAATTATTC